TATATATGTATATATATGTATATATATATATATATATATATATATATATATGTATGTATATTTATATATATATATATAAATGTACATAAATAAAACAAAAAAGAAAAAAAATAAAACAAGCATAAGTATAAAACAAATATAAACAAAACAAAGAAAAACAAATAAATATAAATTAAACAAAGAAATAGAGATTAAAGAAACAACAAACAATGGCAATAAACAAAAACAAAAAAACTAAAAACAAAAAAAAACAACAAAAATAAACAAAAACGAAAACAAAAACAAACAAAAGGAAATGCAAATAAAACGAACGAATATAAATAAATACAAACAAAAACAAATTACTATAAACAAACAACTAACTGAAAATTAAATAAAATACAAAAAAAAACAAAAAAAAACAAACAAAACACAAACAAAACAAAAAAACAAAACACAAAAAAAACAAACAGAAAGACAAACTAAAAAGCAAATAAATATAAACAAATAAATAAACAAAAAAACAGACAAAAAACAAACAAATACAAAACAAACAAAAAAACAAAAATAAATAAAATACAAACAAAACAAAAAAAACGAAAAACCAACCAAACAAACAAACAAAAAAGAAAAACAAACAAACAAAAGAAAACAAACAAAAAGAAAAAAAAAAAAAAAAAAAAAAAAAAAAAAAAAAAAAAACAAAACAAACAAAACACCCAAACAGACAAAACGGAGAAGAGTACCTGTCTAATAACTACAACTAAATCAGCGAATTTGTGTAGCTAGCCAGCTAGCTATATGAATGGCTAGCTAGCTATCTAAACAGCTAGCTAGCTATCTAAACAGCTAGCTAGCTATCTAAACAGCTAGCTAGCTATCTAAACAGCTAGATAGCTAGCTAGTTTGGTGGCTAGCTAGCTAGCTAGCTAGTTAACCACATGGTAAGCTATGCAGTGCAGATAGAGGCACGAGCAGCTGAGGAGCGGTCGACACGTCGCTGCTGCTGCTGCTGCTGCTGCTGCTGTTGCTGCTGTTGCTGCTGCTGCTGCCGCTGCTGCTGCTGCTGCTGCTGCTGCTGCATGCATTGTTGTCGGTTCCCACTACTGCAACTCTTTAGCTCGATGGTTAGGCTGTTAATTAGCTAGCTACGACCTGTATAGCTAGCTAGCTAGCTAGCTAGCTAGCTGCGGTTGTTGCATGCGTTTCTCTTCACCTACAGCGCCTTTTTGATGGCTACTCTATCGCCAATCTCCTAGTTCTATATTTAAGTTATTCGCTATCTAGCTAGGCATCTATCTAGCTAGCTAGNCTAGCTAGCTAGTTTGTTATTTCTTATCTGGTGAGCCATGTTGATGGCTACTCTTTCGCCAGCCTCCTTGCTCTATGTTTAGGGTGTTAGTTATCTATCTAGCTAGCTGGCTAGCTATGTACATCGCTAGCTAGCTAGCTAGCTAGCTAGCTAGCTAGCTATGTATTTTTACCTGGAGCACCTTTTTTTGATGGCTACTCTTTCGCCCGTCTCCTCGTTCTATGTTTACACCGTTAGTTATCTATCTATCTATCTATCTACATCGCTAGCTATCTACATAGCTAGCCAGCTAGCTAGCTAGCTAGCTAGCTAGCTATATATTTACCTGTAGAACTTTTTTGATGGCTACTCTTTCTCCCGTTTCTAGACAGCATGTTTACACTGTCAGCTACCTATCCAACTATATACATAGCTAGCCAGCTAGCTAGCTAGCTAGCTAGCTATCTATATATCTAGCTAGCTAGCTAGCTAGCTGTATATTCATACCTGTAGAACTTTTTTGATGGCTACTCTTTCTCCCGTTTCTAGACAGCGTGCCTCTGTGACGACGCCGAAGGAGCCGTTGCCGAGTACCTGCCCCATATCGTAAGACTTCTGGGGTTGCTGCAGCCCGCTAGCTGTTCTCCTGCTTTTGCTGCTGCTGCTTCTCTGCTGCTGCTGCTGCTGCTGCTGCTGCTGTTGCTGTTGCTGTTGCTGCTGCTGTTGCTGTTGCTGTTGCTGNGCTGCTGCTGCTGCTGCTGCTGCTGCTGTTGCTGTTGCTGTTGCTGCTGCTGTTGCTGTTGCTGTTGCTGTTGTTGTCGTTGAGAAGCGGAGGAAGAAGAAGGCATCATACCAGGTAATCCTCCTGCTCCTCCTCCTGCTGCTGCTGCTGCTCCTGCTGCTGCTGCTGCTGCTGCTGCTGCTGCTGCTGCTGCTGTATTGGAGGGGCCCCCGGGGCCCTGCGCCTCCGCATGGGGGTCGCCCTGGGGGTCTTGCATTATAAACTCGCCAGACAAACAAAATTAAAAAAAGACAGAAAAATCAATCAGTAACAAAGGCTGCTGCTGCTGCTGCTGCTGCTGCTGCTGCTGTTGCTGCTGCTGCTGCTGTTCCTCCTCGTGCTCCCGCTGCAGCTCTTGCTGCTGTTCCTGCTCCTGCTCCTGCTGCTGCTGCTGCTGCTGCTGCTGCAGAGGCCCTGTATATACACTTGAAAGCGTCGATGGGGTGGGGGGCCGAAGACAGCCCGAGCTGCGGTGTATGTGCAGCTCTGGGGTGTATAGGCAGGTCAGTATGAGGTGTATATACAGCTCAATCCAGCAGCAGCTGCAGCAGCTGCAGCAGCAGCAGCATAAAGACAAGCCAAATACTACTGGAGCCGAAGAGAACAGCAGCGTCACTGCTGCCGTTCCTGCTGCTGCTGCTGCTGCTGCTGCTGCTGCTGTTGCTGCTGCTGCTGTTGCTGCTGCTGCTGCAAGTGCTTAGAATTCCCTGCGTCCCCCTAGCAGCCGGCCTCTGCTGCTGCTGCTGCTGCTCATCTGGGGGCTTGCATCCTGCTGTATAGACAGCTCAGCTGCTGCGTTGTCTGCGGTGTATGTGTAGGCAGCAGCAGCAGAAAGAGTGCAGCAGCAAGGGGCCCCGTGTGTCTTTTACCTGCTGCGTGGAGTGGATGCTGCTGCAGTGCTGCTGCTGCTGCTGCTGCTGCTGCTGCTGCTGTTGCTGCTGTTGCTGTATCTGCTGCAGCAGCAGTATAAAGTGCTACTGAGAAGAAGGCTGACGCAGCGACGCAGTTTAAAATAGTTAATTATAATTTATAAAAAGAAGAGATGCTGCTGCACATGCATACACCCCAGGTAGTATAGAGAGACCTGCTGCGGTGTATGTATGTATGTATGAGCAGCAGCAGCAGCAGCAGCAGCAGCAGCACCGGTTGGTTGCTGGTGATGCCGATTTCTTTTTGTGTTTTGTTTTGTCTGATTGAGCTTAAAAGATAAAATAAAAGATTAAATATATCTTTATGTAGATTGCAAGCTGCGTATACACCGCACAGCACCAGCACGGCAGCAGCAGCAACAGAACGAAAAGCAGCAGCCAGAAAGAACAAAGGAGAGAGAAAAAAGAGAGAAAAAGAAATTAAAATACATCACTGTCTATACAGTCGATATTTAACCGCCAAAAATAATAAATATTTTTCCTAAGAAACAAACAAAACGAGCTGTGTGTACACCCCGACAGAAAACTGACACAGATGAGGTGTATGTATACATACATATATATATATATATATATATATATATATAAATATATATATATATCAATCCATCAATATATATTCATTCTCTTCTGTGTTTCTCTCAGAATATATAAAATAAATTCTTTTTTTTATTCTTTTTTTTATTATATTTTATTATTTTAAGCTCCGAAACCACCAAAATTATACTCCTATGCACACAATTGAGGTGTACATACACCGCAGAAACTGCGCGCAGGAAGCCGCCATGCGGCCTACATAAAAACACCACGATTCAGGTGTACAGACAGCCAGAAAATAAAAATAAATCAAAACAACTTCTATTTCCTTTTTATTTCATTTTATTTTCTACAAAATAAAATATAAAAAACGCATTTTCTAGCCGCAGCAACAACGATGCAGGCGCTGTGCATCTCCCGCTGGGGGGCTGCGCCCCGTCTCAGCGAAATTTATTCTTTTTTTCTTTTTTAATTTATTTAAATTAACCTTTTTTTCTTCTTTTTTTCAAAAAAAAACAAATTGCTCAACACACGAGCTGCGCATACACCCCAGCAAATGGGGGATCAGTTACACCCCAGGCCTCACAGCTCCTCCTGCAGCCTTTCTTTATTCATTTTTATTTCTTTTTCTTCTTTTCTTAAAAATTTTATATTTTCTTTCTCTTATGTATACACAATAAACCTAAAATACA